TATCTTAAAATTTTTTTTGGGGCTCGCCGCGGCGAAGAATGGGGGTCGCCGCAGTGAAAGCTCACAGAGAGCAAAACCTGGAGATAGGGCCTGCTTCGCCACGGCGAAACATAAGTTGGCTGCGACGAAGTATAGTCGAGAGCTAAATTAATGCTGACAAAAGGGGTTTCGCCGTGGCAAAATCAGATGTTTGCCGCGACGAAAGGTGACAGAGAGCAGTATTCAATGCAATTTTCAACTCTTCAGAAAACTAAGTTCAAAATATTCATAATTCAACCAATTTATCAGTTCAAAAACACCTCAAAATCAAATAGATGCATGGATGCATGAGAATTATTGGCTAGAATCCATAATAGGTCCCTCTCCCACACTTAAACACAACATTGTCCCAATGTTTAAACCAGTACAGGAAAACCAATCACAAAGTGAACCGGAAGTTGTGAAGTCCAATTGAAATTAAAGCACAACACATCAAATTCACAAAAAGAAGGGAGAAGGTGATAGATTGCATGCAAAACAAAGAGGAGAAGGAAAATAGCAGTTGGGACCAATGTAAGAGTAACAGCAAAATGAGAAGGCTATCAGTAGCCAAATAATTAAACAATATCCAATGTATCACAGAAATGCAAATACCAAAAAGCTTAACAAGTAACCAGCTACACCGACTCAAAAGAAACATAAAGAACAAGAAACAAAACAAAACACAAAGAAAGAGCTACTGCTTTGTCTCAATATCATACGCCCCAGACCTAGATGGTCCTGCACCAGAAGTGCCCGCTCCAGATGTCCCAGCTCTGCTCTGAGGGTCTTCCTCTTCGAGAGGAAGGAAGAAGTTCAACCAGTCAGCAATCAGAGCATCCACACGACGGCGGTAACGCCGGTCTCGATCATAAAGAGCATCACAGTCCTTCTGCCTCTTCATCTCTCAGAGGAGGGTGACTCGCAACTGGTAGACATGGTCTGCCAGCTCATCGATATCATCAGCCAGGGTGTCCAAGGTGACAGGTTCAGGAGCTTCTGGATCTTCCTGTTCTTCTTGACCTTGAGGAGCTAGTACACCAGCTACATGAGCTGCGCCAACATCATAAATAGGGTGGATGGGTGGAGGTGGTCCAATGACAGGCTGTTTAAGGTGGTCATATCGAAACAAAGGGGCTGGCTCAAAGTAGCTGTCATTGTTGTACTCAGGGACATTGGCAGTGCAGAAAAGGTCAATGACTAGGTGGGGAAAAATGATGCTGTTGGTGAGTTTGGGGGTTTGATGGCATCATGAAGGGCTGAGTAAATGGTGTCAGCTACATCAAAGGATCGGCTAGTCATGAGAAGGTAGACGTAAAGGGCTTGGCACTTAGGAACATTGGCTAGGTGGGTGGTGGGTACTAGGTTGTTACAGACAAAATGCAGCCAAGGGCAAGCCTCAAGTCGGAACTCGGATCGCTTAAGGTATTGCTCAGTAGTGTGGGGGTGATGCTAAGTGGCTCCCTCATGACATAAGGTTTGGACCACATCATCGAAAGGGTAGTTGTCTCTGTAAGCCGAATAACCCAAATGGCGATAAGGGGGAAGGCGGTAATAGAAACGGATGTTTTCAACTGTAAACGAATGGCGGACAAGGAATTTATGGAAGTCAATGACCATGGAGCCATGGAATTGGGCATAGGTGTAAAAATGGCGAACAAAAGCGTCATTGCCCATAGAACGCTCTTGGACCAAACCGGTCAATTGGGAGGCACGGAGCTGGTGGATAAAAGGGTGATCAAGGGGGTCTAAAGGAAAAGGTCGCTCCTTGATGAGGGGTCTCTGGTCAATCTTTTGATATAACTCCTCAAAGGTATATTCATCTCCAGAATCAGATTCAGACACAGGCACAGGGTTCTTAGTACGAGGCATACTCTGAACACAAGAAACAAAATATACTAAACAAAGACACTACTACAATGAAGACTTTTTACTTCTGTTTTGGATGACTTTTTACGTCTGTTTTGCAGGGGACATGAAAAGAAGGGACATAAAAAGTACCCCCTTTTTACTTCTGTTTGGAACGGACGAGAATTCACATCTGTTTCCCAAAACAGATGTGAATTCACGTCTGTTTTAAAATTAACAGACGTGAATTCACGTCTGTTTTTTGATAAACAGACGTGAATTTACTCTGTTTTTTTTAAGAAAAGATTCAGTTCGTATATACTGCTTCTCCTACAGCCACAATAGCCATAATAGCCACTTTCCAGCAAGTTGAAATAGTATGAACCAGTCAATATTTTCAGCCAAGACATATCAACATCATAACTTCATCTATATAGACACATTAATTAACTAACTAGTCAAAAAAGAAGAACAAATTACAAAAGTCAATATTGATCCTATTGTCTCTAAACATAAACTTGCTCAATCCCTGGACCACAATTCTTGAAGCAGTTGCTGTGCCAAAAGGTCTCGGATGAAGTTAATGTTATCAATAGTATATGAACAATCATTATCAAAATTCTGTAAATTGACAAATGAACAAATTTAAACATAGGAAGAAAATAAAATAAGTAACAATTCAATTTAAAAATTCAACTATTACAAGACTAAAATTATATTTACTTACCTCATCAAATTTTGTAATACATCCGCTCTCAATAATCTCAAACATATAACGGATAATGTAATATCCGCACTCTGTTGGCCCTTGTTGCTTAGCACACTGCAAATCACAAGGAAATGATAATCAAATTCATATATAAAATAACTGCCATCAATGAAAGAACTTCAATTTAAAGTACTCACACTAGGATATACCCAAGTTGTTGAGCCATTTTTCCCGGAACGCTTCCCACTGGTTATATAATAAGTCTTTAAAGCCCTATAAGCAAATGAAAGCACAAGTTAAATAATTTATATTGAAAACAAAATTATTGATCTACATTAAGGTACTTACGTGTTGAAAACGCCCCTCATCTCACCGCTTGGACGACGACCCAAGGGATCAAACCAGTAGATAACATTGTCAATGGGACAAGAAACACACAAACTCCAATGACAACTGCATCATAGAGTAAGACTTATACATTACTAGATATCACAATAATTCTTAACAATTTAATTTAAGTATGTATAAATAAATATAATTAAGCTACTTGCCCTTCAATAATTGGTGCCAAATAACAAGGTAATTTAGTGTCTCCAATTGTATTGCCCACATATCTGATTCTCCTATCTAGTGGGTTGTACTTCTTCTGGACACTTGCAGGGCATAAATATCCATACAAATTTCTCTTCTCCATTGATGACATGCATTTGTTATGGAAGAAGCTATCATTGAATTGAAATAAGATAATTATTAGTATGTGAAAGTAAGAGATTAGAAATTTAAGTTAGAAATGAAAAAGTAAACTTACATGATTGCTAATTGAACCCATGCTATGTCCAACTCCTTCAAGGATAACAAATCCCTGATGTCTTTGTTGTCAAGTCCAAAGAAATATGATTTTTCTTCACCCACAATCCCTACAGGCATCTTTATGTCGACCTTGTTAATTGTTTTATATTCCTCATATAATTGTGCCAAGCAGGGATATCTATTAACATCTTCCTGGTCCTAATGAAACATCAAATAAACATAATAAGTATTATAAGTATTATGTTAAAAAAATGCACACAGTATAGAATAACATTTTCTTACCATCACAGGTATTATCTCCTCATCAACAAGGTGTCTAGGCCAAAGAATGAAAGTTCCAATTGCCTGACCTAACTTCACAACTTCAGCAGTCGGGAATGGCACATCCGCACCTGTCTCTCCCTCTCGAACAGTCGTAACTGTAACCCTCGCTTGGTCCTCTTGAATATGTTGGTGATGGATAGTGCTCCCTTGATTGTAGAGGAGAGCGTCAGCAACAACACACATCCTTGGGACCTCTAAACGAAGACAACAAGGTTGTCCAAAGTCCGGCGTGGGACTACTAGGATCATGCTCTCCCAATGCCCCCGGTGGATTACAACTGTTTTTAGTGCTAGGAAAGACGGGGGAATCCTAAATGAGAGAAATGCAAGTATTAAATTAAATTAAAAAAATGTTCGTAAAACTCAACATTAATTTAAGTGAAATTGATTACAAACCTGGGATGTGCATTGTTGTTGAACTGTCCCAATTTGCATGCTAGAGACCATAGATTTCATCTCATCACGAAGCTCAGCCATAAGCTCTTTTCGAAGTGACTGGCGTAACTGGGCCTCAATCTTGACCTCTAGCTCAGATTGGAGCTCATCACGAACTTGGTCTCGAAGTTTAGCTATCATCTCATCAGTGGGTTGACTTCGTAGAGAAGCTCGTGAAGTTTGTCCAAAATATTGGGTAAGACCAACTGTCTCCCTTCTCCTCTAACGCGTCCGGGGTGATCAGGTTTCCCAATCGCTGTCGCTAAAATGTCCATCCTTCCACTCGGACTAAATGAACCTTCACTGCTTTGCTCTTCAAGTACCTCCTATAACATTTTAAGTATGATAAAAAATTAATGACAGTATAATAGAAAATTAATGATAAAATATAAGGAATATTACCATAAGTTAAGTTATTTGATGTATACAACTTACAATTTTTTTAGCAATCTCAGCAACTGCTGGATTAATATATTGACCCTTCTTCATCCTTGCTTCCTTCCATTTTCTATGACGTGGAGGAGAGGTGGGGTCTGAACAACGATACTAGGATCAGATTTTGCAGCTTCCTGCATCGCCTTAAAGTCATCCTGCATGATCCTCTCCTCAAGCATCTTGTAACCTCCACGGGATAAATAGTGCGGATATAAATTTTTAGCTTGCCTTTCTTTATTCATCGCACTTAATTCCTGTGGAAAAGAAAACAAAGTAAATTGAGTAAGTGAAGTAAATTAAATCAATGACTTTGCTTTATAAGGCAATGTACCTGAAATTTAGGATCATGCCGTGATGCCACAAACCTCCTCCAATCATCTGGATCAAGGAAGGAGTATTTTTCGCACGGATCATCATCTTTCCTAGACCCTCGCACATACTGGCTCGTGAGTGTGTGCTTAAAATTTTCCAGCGCTGACGAACTTGCTGCAACAAATGCTTTTTCATTTGCTCAGTACGAGGGATGTCATACGTTTGCTGCAAAGAAAAATATATATGTTTGAGTTTAAGATCTTAGTTATAACTATATTTACAATAAAACAAATGAAATAAAATTAGAAAGTGGCATACCAAAATATATTCCCAAATCATATCCTTCGTCTCCTTAGAAATTGACTTCCAATTAGGCCATAGAATATTGACTTTGCTTCGGGCAACGGAGCCTATATAGCTAATGAATCTGTCCTTCTCTTCACCAATTGGATTCATATTGGCATCAAAATCCACATGCTTCTTCTGAATACGACCATGACGTACTGCTAACTTTGGTAGCCTTGTACTACCTCTAACCTTCCTTCCTTCCGGCTGATTGACATCATCGATGTCATAATCCTCCTCCATATTGGCATCAAAATCCTCCTCCATATTGGCATCAAAATCCTCCTCCATGTGCCTGTTGAAAAACCAAAATTAGATAAATAAGTAAATTATAGTGAAATGTATTAATATATAAATAATATCAAGTACATTGCAATGAAATAAATGAAAGAAAATAACACAAGGTACGTTGCAAAATTACATTACTTATCTGACTTTATGCATTGTCCCATATCCCTTCACAATGATCATCTCTTGCAGCATATTCATCATTATCTACCAATTCTACTTCACTTGGTCTAGGCGGATTTGAAGCAAAAGGTGGTGTCTCATCAAGATTCATGGTAGGATCACTGTCCTTCTGCTTTTTACTTTGAAGGACAATAGACAATTTTTTATTTGCTGGATCAGTAACATAAAATACTTGTTTTGCCTGGCTTGCTAAAATGAAAGGCTCATCTGCATAACCAACCCTGCCAAGATCAACTAATGTAAATCCAAATTGTTGATCTATTTCAATACTGTTGTTGTTGACCCATTTACATTTGAAGACAGGAATCTTGAAATTGGTGTAGTTTACCTCCCATATCTCTTCAATAACTCCATAATAAGCCATAGATGCCAATTTGGGGTTTTTATCTTTCGAACTCGAAAAATGCATCGCTTCAGCAACCACCATTACCCCACTATTCTGCACAGTACTTTTGTCATCTTGAGCTTTTGTGTAGAAGGAATATCCATTTATGTCGTATCCACTCCAAGTGATAACTTCAAAACAAGGACCCCAAGCTAACCATTTTATTGTATCAGATACATTGGCCTCTCTCAAAACTTTTTCACTGAACCATGTTATAAATGTTTTGTTATGCTCATTTGCTATCTGCATATCACTTTTCTTTGGATACTTCTCTTTTAAACTTTTTTTGTGATCATCTAAATACGACTGCACTTCTTCCATATTATTCAATATGTATAAGTGCGCTTGTAACACTTCTTCACGACCCATACTCTTTACCTTCAACCCCCTGATTCCTTTACTTGTACCGTTTTCATGCCGAGATGGTGTCTTAGCTATAGATAGATATGTTTTGCAAAATTCCATAGCCTCTTCCGCTACATACCTTTCAACAATTGATGCTTCAGGTCGATAAGGATTTTTAGAATAATTTTTTAAGACTTTCATGTACCTCTCAAATGGATACATCCATCTTAGAAAAATAGGACCGCAAAGCCTTATCTCCCTCACTAAATGAATGATCAAATGCACCATGATGTCAAAAAATGCTGGGGGAAAGTGCATTTCTAGTTGAGACAAGATAACATAACCCTCATTTTCCAATTCATCCAATTTCTCTATGTCAATGACTTTGCTACAAATAGCATTGAAGAAGATACATAATCTAGTTATAGTGCTCCTCACATCATCTCTCATTGTGCCTCGAATAGCTACGGGTAATAGTTGTTGCATCAGTACATGATAATCATGAGACTTCATTCCCACTAACTTCAAATCATGCATTGAGACAAGCCTTTTCACATTAGAAGAATACCCCTGGGGCACCTTGATGTCATGCAAACACCGACACAAGCTTGTTTTTTCGACTTTAGACAATGTGTGGGCCGTAGGTTCCATATAAGCCCGCTTACCACCCTCTCTCAATTGTGGATGTAAGCGCTCTCGAATGCCCATTTCAGCCAGATCAAGTCTTGCATTAATTCCGTCTTTAGTTTTTCTGGGTATGTGCAAAAGAGTACCGATAAGACTATCACACACATTTTTTTCCACATGCATCACATCGATACTGTGTCTTACATCAAGACTGCGCCAATATGGAAGATCAAAGAAAATAGACCTCTTCTTCCATATGTTTTTCTCACTTGCAGCTTTTTGAGTCTTACCGAAAATGACATTGATTCTTTCAACTCGCTGGTAAACTTCCTCTCCAGTTAATGCCTTCGGAGCCATGCCATGCTCTGGTGAGCCATTAAAAACCTTTTTCAATCTCCGGTATGGGTGGAACCGATCAAGAAACCTCCTGTGACCGAGGTAAACTGTCTTCCTTCCGTGCTTAAGTTGGTGGAAGTATGTGTCTGCTTCACATATAGGACATGCTTTATGCCCCTTCACACTGTATCCTGATAGATTTCCATATGCAGGAAAGTCATTTATCGTTGTAAAGATCATGGCACGCAACTTAAAGGACTCCTGCTTGTATGCATCAAACACATCCACGCCTTCTTCCCACAACATCTTCAAATCTTCAATTAAAGGTGCCAAGTAGATATCGATATTGTTTCCTGGTTGTTTCGGTCCTGAAATCATCATAGAAAGCATCATGTACTTGCACTTCATACATAACCAGGGAGGTAGGTTGTAAATCACCAACAGTACTGGCCATGCACTATGTGTGCTATTAAGAGTACCGTAAGGGTTGATTCCATCTGTACAAAGCCCAAGGCGAAGATTTCTTGGTTCAAGACCAAATTCTGGAAACATTTCATCTATTTTCTGCCATTGAGGAGAATCAGTAGGGTGCCGAAGATATCTTCCATCTGATATTCTCTCATCAAAATGCCATCTTAACTTCTTCGCTTCTGTTGCATTAGCAAATAAGCGCTTAAATCGTGGTATTATCGGAAGATACCATAACACCTTCAAAGGTTGCCCTTTACTTGTCTCATCACCATCATAGTTACCAGCACAGTCCATGTTCTTTTTCACCTTGAATCGTGAAGTTTTACATTTTGGGCACTCACGTAGACCAGCATACTCTTTTCTATATAATACACAGTCATTAGGACAAGCGTGTATCTTTTCATAGCCCATACCCATCCGAGACAAGATTTTCTTTGCTTCATACACACGATTTGGAAGAACGTTATCAATTGGAAGCATATCACTAATCAATTGAAGCAACTCTGTGAAACTTTTGTCAGTCCACCCATTATTTGCTTTTAAACTGAACAATTTCAATACAGCTGTCAATTGTGTATACTTAGAACACCCAGGGTACAAAGGAATCTCTGCATCACTCTTCAAGTTATCATTTGCATGTGATTGCACAAAGAACTCTACCCCTACATCACGAATCATATCGCTCATTCTATCATTTACATCATCCATATCTTCCTCTTCTTCGAGTATTGAACTTGTTCCTACTTCACCATGCCATATCCATTTTGTATATCGAAGATTTATACCATCACAAAGCAGGTGATCTCTAATATCATCAACACTTAGTCGCCTCTCATTTAAACACTTGACACAGGGACAAAAATACATTCCGTTATTGCTACGAGCATTCTGTTTAGCAAATTCAATAAATCGTTCTACTCCGTTCTCATATTCATCACTTGTTCTTAAAGCATTCATCCAACTATGATCCATTTGTTACTACCTAAGGAATTATAAACAATTTAATTCCATTCAGCACAGTCCCAATAAACATTAACCAAATTCAAAACTAATGATATCAATTGAATCCGATTCATTCCAATTACAACATAAATCATGCCAATTCCAAGTAAATGATTTCAAACTTCAAATCTATTACCCAATCAATGTAAACAAATTTTAACTTATCTAAATGCAATTTTTTCATTAATCATTTAATGTATACCCAATCCTTAATCTAAATTCAACACATATGGCAAACTATCTAATGCAATCCCTCTTAGGCATTTTAACAAACACCTTGTATGCATTATTTTTCTAACAAGATTAACAAGGCTTGAAATCATTAAAATTTCTACCCAATCAATATATACAAATTTAAAACTATCTAAACACAATTCTTCAGCAAAAATTTAAACAGCAACCTCAGAAACCAATTCAAAACTCCTCAACCGACTCAAACCCACCGTACAACACACTAAAATGCAACGGTCGAATGAACTTACCTTCACCGTTCTGGCGTGCCTTCGAATCAACGGCCTACAGAGAGGACGACGACGGTGAGCTGCTGTGCATGTGAGCTTCACGGCTTCAACGGCGAGCTGCTACAACACGGCTATTGCAGAATGAGCGACGCAATGGAGGGAGTTCGGCTACGGCCTTGAAGAGCTGAAACCAGGGGGAGAGATCGAAACAAGTTGAAATAGCTCACGGCTACTTCACGGACAAGAGGAAAATGAGAGGGAGAGACCGATCGAAACTGAAAGTTGGGTGCGAGATAGCTGCGAGCTAGAGTTCTTCGATCGTGCGCGGTACATATGCAAATCTGATAGATAACTACTGATGTGAGCTGCGCTGCGGGCAAATTTTTTTTAAAAATGAAGCCCCTTCACGTCTGTTTACTTAGAAACAGACGTGAATTCACGTCTGTTTGTTATAAACAGACGTGAATTCACGTCTGTTTTGGGTCAACGGACGTGAATTCACGTCTATTTTGTTTAAAACAGACATGAAGTCTCTTCTGTTTTGCAAAACAGACATAAACGAGGGAGGTAAATAACACATTTTGTTGTAGTGAGACCAAACAGACAACAACGAACACTACCCCAGAAAAACCAGAATCACAACCTAAACAGTAGCAAATGGCTATGGAATGATTCATAGGTTTTCAGTTTATCAAAAACTTTCAAAATTAAGTAAAGAGATTAAAGAAAAACAAAATGCACTATGAATCATTAGATAGCCTAAGAGCTACGTAACCATAAACTGATATTAAAATAACCCAACCCAACAACACAACAGTAGAACAAAACCAACAGACCAACAACTAACTGAACTAAAACAAAAGAAAGAACAAAGGAAGAGAGGAATCATACCACAACTAAGAGAGATCTTCAGTGCTGAATGAGGAAAGCAGAGGAAGAGAAGGAGCAATGAGAGAGATGAAGAGGTTAGAAAGGTAAAGAGAAAAGGGAGAATGAGAGTAGAGAAAAGAGGGAGAGTGGCGCTGGAGAGGCTTGGATGAAGGAATGGAGAAGAAACTGAAAGAATATGGAGAGGGAGAGGGGCCGACGGTTTCATAATATGGAGAGGGGGGAGTAGCCGACGGTTTTGGAAAATTGAAAGGGTAGTGGGGATATAGGAGTTTAATGGG